TGAACAGTCATGAATAATGACTTATGTCTTTGTTAAAATTATTGTAGTACATTTTTTATTTTTATACAAGAGTTATCTTTTGAATGTTAGGTACTGTCCTTTTCATCTTATTCTGTTATATATAGTATTTAGCTGGTTTATCACAGATTTATTTGTTTTATTACCAAGAATGATAGACCAATTAACATTATTCAAAGGGGAGGAGAGGTTCAGCCATGTCATTAAATTTTGTCAAAATATATTAACAAAATTACAATCAATATTGGGAAGTGTGATATATTACATTTTATTGAATATGTATTGTCCGCCATTATTTTGGTTTGGTAAATCATACCACGTGACTCAGATCCGAACATTTACGGAAATAGTCGAATGGCTTCCCGCCAAAATATAAATCTTATTTGACTAACCCAGTCAAATAAGAAAATGCATTTTTTAGAATGGTCAGAAATGTTACAGAGAGCGTTTCTAAGTTGGAAAACTTTGTCAATACTAGTTAAATAATGCATTTGATAACAATAAGGCGTTAATTTGACAATCTGTTTTGATGAATTTGACCAGGAATATAACTTTAAGTAACAAAAAGGTTATTTATACCCTGGTCACATATATTCATACCCGGTCATACAGAATACGGCCACGGAATAGCCACGGATTAAATCGGCTTCGTCCGTAGCTACCCGTACTGGTCAGTAGCTCTACGTATTGTAACCGTAATCAATCGTAAAAAATCCGTGTATATCCGTAATGATCCTTGACAATTTTTGACATGCACAAAAATTTGTACGGAAAAATCAACCGTAGCGTTTCCCTACTAGTCCGTATTAAAATAGAAATAAAAACAGAATCCCTAAAGAAAGTCCAACACGGCAAAATTGAAAATGTTGCAGGTAAACCGTACTGATACGTACTGGTCCGTACGGAAACCATACTAGTCCGTACTGATTTGTAAGCCCCAACTAGTCAAGGATTTCGGAATACTACGTATTTGTACTGTTTCCCCACGTATAAGCTACGGTTTTAATACGAAACTTAAAACGTTGTACTACGGAGAGGCAGGGTTTAGCACGGTCTTATACGGCTTATTGCGTTGCAACACATATTACGGTCCACCACTGTTTAGTACGAATGAATTAAGTATCATGTTCTTTTTTAAGAGTATAATTACTGCGTTCTTGTTAAAAACAGACATATTTGCGTTAAAAGATATCATTAACTGGTTGCAACTGTATATTGATATGACCCAAAATGCGGAGGTAGTGATCGAGCTGCTTGAGGTATAAAATATATATTAATATCATACTACAATACATTAGTAATAAACTAACATTTAAGGTTTCATATTTTACAAAAAATTGGATCGAGAAATTGGAGAAAATATGTACACAAAACGAAGTGTCTCATAAGCCTCAGGCGCTTGCCTTTGAGAGATAATAAGATTAATTAACAATCTTTTTAAAACATTAACATTCACGATAATTAATGTAATTGTAAAATGAACAACCATTTTTAAAATAAAAAAGCAGTATTGATGAACATTTTTCATTAACAATTTTATATTTAATCAAGTAGAAAAAGACAAAGAAGATGGCCATGGTGGACTAGAGGTTGGCATTTACGGCCAGTATGAGGCTCTCATGGCCGAACTTGTTGCTAAGAAACCGGGGTCTTACAAGAAATTCACTATAATCGGACCTGATATATCACGGGGGTCGGACGGGATGAGGTCGAATCCTCTCCGCCAGAATCATTGAACTCTGCTGCAATTCGTTTTCTAGATGTTATTTTCTTGTGAGGCGTTTCAAAAATGAGCATGCAAGAGGTTGCGGACGGATATAATAGGTCCGTATAGATCCGTGGCAATTCGTTCTTCTCCGTATTAGACCGTACTTATTCGTACTAACCCGTGCTTATACCGTAGCAGACCGTAACGTATCTGTAGTGCGTCCGTCCTGATTCGTGTCGCTTCGTATCAAACCATGTCGGTCCGTAACAATCCGTGTCTCTTCAGGGGCTTACCTACATTTTGGCGGTAAATCCGTCAAACTCTGTTCTCATACCGTTGTATTTCCGTACTGGAACCGTAGCGGACTACATTTACATTTCCGTAGTAATCCGTGAACCCTTCCGTGGCGTTATCTGTGAAAATGTGACCGGGGCATTAAATATATGCGCATAATTATGAAAGGCATATGAGCTTGTTTTATTCAACAAAGCTATCGGATGGCCTATAGAAACACAACATAAGCATTTTTTGTAATACCCTTAAAATAAAAATACACAATGTATATAGTAATTTAAGACAACAGATGTTTAAGGAGCTAGTTATTTTTTTAGTTATTTTATAGCTGTAACATTTATTAAAATTGTGTTTGTACGTCCTCAACCAGACCTGTAAGGCAGACGATGATGATGATGTTAATTAAAATGATTTTTGTGTTATTTATATATATGGAAGATGCGAACATAATTGTGCTGAATATTAATTTCATGTTTATACTTGGGGGGGGGGGGGGCTTTATCCGTCAAAATGAATCATTTTGACATATACAGCTTCCTTTGATGGTTGCTATGTTCGTCATTATCGTAGTTATGTGTCAACAAATAAAACCATTTTATATTCTGAGTTAATATTATTGTCAAACTTAAATCTGATTTATGTTTCAAAGGGAGAAATGTGTGAACATTGTATAAAAAAATTAAGCGCAAAATGTTTTGGTATTTAGAAACTGGAATCCCTTTAACTTTTAATGGACTGCACCAAATTCAAAGCTGGGCAGATCCATTACACAAATCCAGCCGGTCACTCTTTTGGACTTATTGTAACAATTTAATTAATAAGAACATTTTAGAAAAAATTCTATCAAAGTACAAGGAATTTGTTGGCATGTTACTTGTCTTATTTTTACATAAAATATGATAAACCAGATCAACAAGGAAAAGCGGCGTTCAATGAACGCAACCCTCACTCGACCCAGTAACAAGAGCCAGTGGCAAGGAGCCCAGGAGGACCCCAAACAAAAACAAGGCAGAGCATGGGTAGGCTAACCACTAAAATCATAAATAATTAGTAACTGATAAGGAACTAAAAGAAAACAAATAAATGATTGAAAAATAGGCCCATAAAGTTAAAGGGCACAGGGGAACGGGACAGTAGACCCGGGGAAGGGAGGGGATAAATAAAATAAATAAAAAATAGGGGAAAAGGGGAAGATACCGTAGACGAGAAAACAACAAGGGACACAAGTGTCACCAAAACAGTATGAAACAACATAGACATACATCTGAGGAACACAGAGGGGTGCTGCCTTGGATCGGTCAGCAGCATAAATACTGCTTGAGAGTTTAAACCGGTTAATGGTGCACCAAACCTCGCCCTTAGCCCCACCTTGTTACTATAAACGAGAAAGTGTAAATAAAATGAATCCCCGCCAATTGAAATTCTAACAGTTGTTATAAAGCCTATATAAATGTTAACATAGTTTATTTTTTATGATGTACTAGTCGTAATAAAATCTCGGTGTTCCTGTTACTGAAAAAAGATCAGGTATGATAGCGAAAACCGATCCTTTTACGAAAACCGATCCTTTTACGCAGGCGATGTGTCGCTTGTTTAATGATCAACATTTTTTTCTTGTCCAATCACAGTGTAGTATTGTTCATATTTCTGCTAAGTCTAAGTTTGGTTAATGTGTACTAACTTAATAAAATGTACTTAATCTGTCGTCTAACCAGTCTAACTAATTTCAATAATGCATTATATTAGGGAGGAGTTAGAGGTGTGGTTTGCACTGTGAATGGTAACATATCTAGGTAAGCAAAACAATGCCAACGTAAAAAATTTAGGCGCGTTCAGATGTTTCTAAATGTGAGGATACAATAAATTAATTTATTACATAGATAATACACGAGACAAATGATTACATAGTAACTTTTTTATATCCTTTTAAAATGTCTGTTTATATAAATTGTTGACTGTTTTAAACTTTATATTTTCTATCAAGAATGCAGTGATTACATTTTTTGGCTGGAAAACTCATTGAAAATGGACCCACTCCACCTGTAAACCTAAATTGACACACAGAAAAATAAAAAAAAATGAACTGTTTTTCAAATAAGCAAATCAATAGGGATTTTAAATGTTAGTGACAAACTTGAAGCTAATAACGAATTTGTATCAATTAATAATCTCTAATGTATTTTTCTCACATTTTCCATTTATTTTAAAAGGATATACACATTTCATTAACTCTATTGTTTTTACCTAATTTCGTTTTCTTCCCTGTTTTTTTCCCTCACATATTTTATAGAAACACGACAGTCTGACTGTAGATAAAGGTTTAAATTCTGTGACATTTCAGTAAAAAATGTGCCTGATTATATGTTAAAAGGCTTATATAAATGTGACATGCGGAGCTATCGGTGATTTAGAGATATTTGAAAACAATAATGTTGATCATTAAATAGGTTAATGTTTAATAATACGCATTAACAAAAATAATTGGTCGCCTGCCTTCCTTCTGTCTTTTAATATAAATTATAATTCTCAGATAGAAATAAGTGTTATAATTTTTTTTATTATTCCATTTTATATTAAAATAAGGACACTTTAGAATTGGTATTTTTATAAGTATTCAAATATAAAAATTTTAAAATTATTTTAAACTCCGAAAAATTTTTTAAAAAATCTGATATGTTTTTAAAGTATAAAAATTAAAAATTTTTTCGGGGTTAAAAATTTGGGATGAGTATTTTTTTAAAAACATCGAGGTTTGGTTAAAAAGCATTTTTTGGTTTCACGAAAAGGAAAAGTTTCTTTTAAACATATATCTGGTTAATAGGGCCTTTAAAAACAATTAAAAAAGCCCGTAAAAACAAAAGACATGCGATTTGGGGGAAAAAAATTTAAACCAAAACCCACATGATTTTGGGGGAGTTTTTTTTACCTGTAGTAAACTTACCTATCCATTACCGCTACGTCATTTTATGTGTCGGTCTCTTTCTGTTTGGATAGCTTAGTGAATTTTTCATATTTATGTAGGAAACTATATCAGTGAATCTGAAATTAGGAAATATATGTTTTATTTTAGCCATCTTGTCTTCACAAAGACTTAGTACCGTTACTATAAAAGAAGTAAGCATAGTTCATAGTTATGTGTTTTTTTCTTTCTTCTTCTTCTCTCCTTGGCATACGTCTATATAACTAGGGGAAAACTTCAGAATAAACTCAAACATATGATGTAATATTATCGCACATATCATTACTGAGTTTTAGACATTATTCCAGTTATTCTTAGGTTAAAGAATTTTTGCCAAACGTCATTTCTCCAAACTATATCAAAGGCTTGTTTGAGGCCAATGAAGCACAAAATAATTTATTTTTATTGTTGTTTTTTTTTTCATTAAATATTTGATGAATGATGTAATACAAATATTTGGTTTGTGGTTGAAAACAATATCCTAAACCCTACTTGACTATTACCTGTTATATACATTTTCTTCTGAATATGTAGTAAGCCTATTACTTTTAATACTAGTAAAGAGTTTTCCTTAACATTTAAAGAGTATAATAGGTATAATTATAATTTTCAAGATTACTAGCATCACCTTTGATTTTATATATTGAATTTACTATTCCAATACTCATCGTCTCGGGTATAACATCTTTTTCAAACACTTAACTGAAAAATGAAATGTGTATACTTTATTTAACTACACAGTGGAGCCTTGCTAATTCGAACCCTTCTAATCTGGAATCCTTTCTTATCCGAACGAAATGTCCGGTCCCAATTTTATTTGTTCTATTTTCAATTGTAAAAAAACTTTCGGATCCGGAACCTGTGTACTCCGAATTTCGGCCGATGTTTTCAATTTTTGTTCTTATTTCACTCTAAAATTGACCTCTCGGATCCAAACAGATTTTGCCCAGTGTCACACCTATATTTAAAGTCATTATTTCAATACTTGGTCCTTTAAGATAGATGCTATGCAACGTTTTAAGTAATGTATAGATTGTTTTGCCTCTTATATTTATGTATAGAAAGGCATACGTATTTTATAATGTTTTACACTACAGTTTTTATATGTTGTACGTATGAAGAGACATAAATAAACTATTTGACTTGACATGACTTGACTTTAAAATAACTAATAATCGCACATCTTGCAGGTGTAAACATACTCTTAATTGAGTAATTTCCCTTGTTTAATGGGTGAAACGTATGATCTGCGAAGGTGTGAAAATTACACTAAGCTTGTCTTGATATCTTTTTAATATTTGATATGGAATTATTATTATTATTATTATAGAAATTTATACAATATAATCTATGTCTCTTGCCTCAATATTTAGGTAAGATATGTAGATAAACTAATTTAGTTTAATGATTTATGTAGTGTAGTGAACAATTATTATGTTTGTTGTGACGCTACTTCATAGATTAATATATAGTAAATTATAATATTTTTATCTGGGTAGCTAAAGATTTCCAGAACAGAACATATAATTCATAGATATGAAGTTCGTGAATGTAAGACAAACATAAATTAAAATTTCATTATCCTACGTTCTAACGAATAACTTGTTATGATGACCTTCTCCTGTAAAGTCATAATTATATTGTGATAACGTTTTGTATGTTAACATATGCACTTATTGCCAAATCGAAAGCATTAGGGTCCATGCTATATGATGTTTTTGTTAAATTGTTAATTCATTGGTATGATTCATTGGTTTGGGCAGTCATTTCATATGGTGCTTCAATTTGGGGTAATAAGTCATTTTCCTGCATTGATGTAAATAGAGTTAATTATAAGATCTTTTCTACTTGTTTGCGCAAGAGCAGCAATAGGTATAAAAACTGGCGATTTATATTTAACTAGAACTGTGTCCATAGGACACGGATGCCCCCACACGCCACTGTTCTGTCAATCTTATGACTCTAGGTCAAATATTTTTTGGACAACATTTGCTGCCACAAAATGAAAACTAAAAATCAACAAAGGGCCATAATTCTGTTAAATTTGGTCGCAGCAAAAATTCCTTCCTTTACTACCATCTACACATTGAGGTTGTTCATCCCTGTAAGTTTAAGCAAAATCTGCCATCCGGTTTAAGAGGAGTTGCGTTCACAAAATTTCTACATAGTATATAATGAAAAAATCAAAAAAGGGCCATAATTCTGTTAAATTTGGTTGCAGCAAAAATTCCTTTCTTAACTACCATCTACACATTAAGGTTGTTCATCCCTGGAAGTTAAAGCAAAATCTGCCATCCGGTTTAAGAGGAGTTGCATTCACAAAATTTCTACATAGTATATAGTGAAAAAATCAACAAAGGGCCATAATTCTGTAAAATTTGGTTGCAGCGAAAATTCCTTCCTTTACAACCATCTACACCTGAAGGTTGTTCATCCCTGTAAGTTTAAGCAAAATCTGCTATCCGGTTTAAGAGGAGTTGCGTTCACAAAATTTCTACAGAGTATATAGTGAAAAAATCAACGAAGGGCCATAATTCTGTTAAATTTGGTCGCAGCAAAAATTCCTTCCTTTACTACCATCTACACATTAAGGTTGTTCATCCCTGTAAGTTTAAGCAAAATCTGCCATCCGGTTTAAGAGGAGTTGCGTTCACAAAATTTCTACATAGTATCTAGTGAAAAAATCAACAAAGGGCCATAATTCTGTTAAATTTGGTCGCAGCGAAAATTCCTTCCTTTACTACCATCTACACATTAAGGTTGTTCATCCCTGTAAGATTAAGCAAAATCTGCCATCCGGTTTAAGAGGAGTTGCGTTCACAAGATTCCGGGACGTACGGACGGACGGACTGACGGACGGACGGACAAGTGCAACGCTATATGCTCCCACATTGTGGGGGCATAATAATCATATGGAAAAGTTAAATTTAGCAGAGTATGCACGTGGTTGTGTAATAGTCTCATCTCTGCCTTTTTGTGAAAAAGTTGTTCAAAAATGTATGTCATTATATAAAGATGAATGGATAGCTAAGCTTAATAGGAATGTTAGTCTAAATGGGAATGGTGGTAATAAATTTAGAACCTATAAGTTGTTAAGATTACAAAACTGAGCATTATTGTAAACTATATTTGCCACGTACACACATGTCTGCACAAGCGAAATTCAGATGTGGAGTAGCTCCCATAAAGCTTGAAACTGGTAGATATAAAAACATTGCTGTTTACAGTAGGATATGTCCAATATGTAAAATTACAGTTGAATGTGAAAAACCTGTATTATTATCTTGTAATGCATATGAGCACATTAGGTTACCTATGTTAGAAAAAGCTCGTAACTTAAGGCCTAAATTTGTTGACCTCTCTGACGAAGATAAACTTGTTTTCATTCTCTCCAACAATGATATTGTTAAAGTCACAGCCAAAACCTGTTACAATATTCTTCAACTCCGCTACATTCCATCGATATGTGCTTCAGTTTTGCATTGACAGTTATTCTTAATTAATTTCCAATATTTCCTGGGGTCTTTGGTTTTAATTTGCGAAATTTATCAATTTCTCTATTCAATTGTTTATTTTTTAAACGAACTCATAGTGCCTATGTTTATCTTCTTATCTTGTAAAGAATACAAAGGATATATTTTTACTAAATCATATACATTTTCTTATTAAAAGAATCGCTGGCTTTTAAAAATGTCAAGTTTATTTCATTTATTTCCTCCACAAGATTTATGTCAAATTTCTTTAAGAAGTGTTCGCGTTTTTATTTTCCTTTTATTTTAAATCATTTCAGTAGCATTAATTTCAGTTTGTTTAGTGTGACCTTTGCCTTCGGGTAGCAACCTAATAGTAATAATTGCGCTCTACACATCGTCTCATTATGGTGATCACTTGTGCCAAGTTATTTTTAAAATGGATCAGTGGACTAAAAGTTATGGAGAGGACACGAAAGTGTTAGGGGCGGACTGACGTTCTGACAAAAAATGGTTTATGTGACTATTCTATTGTTCTTTAAAGCCACATAAAAAACAAGAAAAAGCCACATAAAACGAAATGAATAGGGTCGAAATAATTCTTAATATTACCTATTGTTCCCATAGCTACATTTACCCCAAACATAAGAGGGACGGACTGACAGACAGGGGCAATTCCCATTATATCTTCCCCGCTTTGCGGACGGGATAAAAATGGGACAAAGGTCAAGAACAGTTACAAATTCTCAAAATATTGTAAAGATTGTACAAGACTTAACGATTCTGCAACAGTTTATATACATAGACATGACAAAACGCGGAGCAGCTCACGACGTCACACACGGCGTTATGCTATCATAGGAAGTAATCTATGTTACCGTTTTGCCTTATAACTTTTCAAAGTATTCCCCTTTAACCCGCACACATTTTTCATGGCGGCGGACCCAGTCTCTAAATGTACTCGCATACCATTCCTGGCTGAATAATGACAGTATGCATTGGGTGGCTCCTCAACTTGTCCAGATTGTCAAAACGTTTCCCTCTCAACTCTTTCTTTAACCTGGGAAACAAGGCGAGGTCACACGGGGAAAGATCAGGCGAATATGGTGAATGAGTACTTCTGCTCCAAGCTGAAAACTAGAGAACGACACACTGACGGTTTATTTGTCACACTTTCGATCATTGTTTTTGTCTCGCCAGGCGTCTTTCCAAGATTTACACAGAACTGTATAACTGTCCGAAGTTTTGCTGGATCCGTGACGTCCATTTTTGATAAAGCTGTTTTTAGCACCTGTTCTTTAAAGCACGAGCGTAAAATAACCGCAACTTCAAAATGTCTTCTAATTCTGACAGAATGACGTCATACACATGAAAACAACGTTATTATAACGTTTCCCGCAATTTTCTTTGTTTGTACAGGTTTTACATGTGTTTAAATGAAATGAAATGAAAACGTTTACATCACAGCGAAAAAGTAAGTTGCGCCGCGATTTTGATACTTAATGTTTTTATGTTGTCATATATAGATAACAAATGCAATTGGTGTTTTAAAATTTGGTCAATTTATTAAAAAAGCATTGATTAATAATATCCAAAGAGTTCAACTCGGTAGGACGTCACGTTATGGAGATACACACATTGTCCACGAATTTTTGGATCACCCCTCGTAGTACTAATACTGAATAAAGCCACAAGAAAATCCCAAGGTACATAAGTACACATGCTGACCAACATTCTTTTTATCTTTCAGGCCTACAGGTCATAAACTTTTAAGTTACGTGCAACACAAGTTAAATATTGTAAATTTTTACTAAGTCAAGGACAAAAACTCAAAAAATATATCCATATGAAAATACCCAGATGCACAACTTCACATGCTGAGCAACATTCCTGTAAGGTTTCATGACAATAGGTCCAATACTTTTTTGTGACGTGCGACACAAGTTGAAAATTGGAAATTTTTACTAATTCAAGGGCAATAACTCATTCACATGCTGATTAACATTCCTGTAAGGTTTCATGACTCTAGGTCAAATAGTTTTTGAGTTACATGCGACACAAGTTAAAAATTGTTAATTTTACTAAGTCAAGGGCAATAACTCAAAAATACTAAATAAATTTCCACACGAAAATACCTAGGTGCACAACTATGCAGACTGAGCAACATTCTTTTAAGGTTTCAAGACTCTAGGTAAAATACTTTTTAGTTACGTGCGACACCAGTTGAAAATTTGAAATTTTTACTAAGTCAAGGGCAATAACTCTTAAAATACTAAATATATCCACACAAAAATACTCAGGTGCACAACTAAACATATTGATCAACATTCCTGTAAGGTTTCATGACTCTAGGTCAGATCTATTTGAGTTACGTCCGACACAAAAAGGGAACGGACGGACGGAGGGAAGGATGGATTGACGGACGTACGGATGGACGGACGATGGGACAAGAGTAAATCTAAATGCCCCCCCCCCCACTATAGTGGGGGCACAAAAATCGAGATATAAAAAGATACAAAGTAACAGAAACTTTTATAATCAAATAAACATTCTTCAATATACACAGTGTACAGGTTAAACACAAAAGTACTACAACGGTGAATACATAATTACTAACCCACAAATCTCATAATCATTTTTCATTTACATGTACGATATACGAAATAACAAAAGAATATCTAGTATTCACAGCGACAGTATTCAGACGGACATTCTTTTAAAAAGCAATCCTTGACATTATGTCGTTTTTACAATGGAAGCGGTCATAATAATCAACAAAATATTATTTTGAAAATCAGTATTAGTAATCGATAACTTAGTGTCGTCATATTTTGATGAATAAGTATTCATTTTCAATTTTTGCAAATAACTCATGAATCGCAGTTTTTCGCAAAACAACAAAGAAATTATTGCGTATATAATTATTATCATAAATTTTTGATTGATGACATCTTACAGTAAAACACTTTATTACTTAATTAAAATACTACTACTTTTTGTTTGAAGAATATAAGATGTCTTACCCACTGTATTGCACACGAATTTTTCCAAGCAGACTTTACTTTCCTTGGTATAATAAGATAAAGAGACAACTGGACGATCTCCAACAAAGATATTTCGATTTACACGAGAATAAATGCATTCGAAGTCCATATGAAAATGCAACTCGAGACAAATACTTCATTTTGTGTAGCCAGCGTACAACAAGGTGTTCATCAGTTATCAACTCTTCTGTAGAAAAGGAATTTATTCCTGACGACGAAGAAGGAAATCTCAAGATTGAATCATTTACAACAGAGGAGTTTTTGCAAAAAGAAGACAGTGGAGATGTGCTTGTCGTTCCATACAAGATAAGCACATATTTCGTCAACAACAATAATCTAAACTGCAAAATAATAGTTGTTGGAACTGATACAAAAGAGTATACAGATGCCAACAATATTTTTCAAAAAGAACCAAATATCAAAGTCTCTCGTTTGGAAGACTTAAAGGATATAGCAAGTCTAACACTTGAAGAAAGTATGTTTGAACCTATGAAGTCTTATGCTGAAATATTAGAAAAAACTTTACAACACAATCGAAAAAATGGGATAAGAAAAGGCAAGTATAAAACTGAAATTAAAATTTCCTATAGTTGATCACCGCAATAGTAGATACATATAAATGAAAAAGGTTTTCGTTAAATATTTATAAAACACAATAACATCGTTTAAATGAAACTGCTTTCCTTTTTGTGAACTTTTTGTTTATGTCTATATTACATTATATTTGCCTTATTTGTAGTCATTACTTCATCCTTAATTTTTGAATTAACGCATAAATAAATCGCCTTACTTTTTTGTATTCTCTTGGCTAGACGAAAGTGTGCCCAAGACGATAAGGAGAAAAAAATACAGAAAGACTCCATACAATTCTGAAAACAAGAAAGATTGCACGACAACCATACACCTTGAAAAAAGAAAAGAAGGTGTGATTTCTTTTCTAAAAAGCTTACTGGTTCTGTATTTAGGTTTTTAAGGACGTTTGTCTAACTTTTCAAACAGAACATATACTATTTTCTATGGTGCCTGATTTATGCCATGTCTTACTTTCGCAAGACGAAATGACAATTATACGACAAAGTCACTGATTTTCGTTTTTTTTTGTCCGGCCCCCTGCTGAGCGAAAATAGAACTTGGCAAAAATAAGCCACCATTCTTTTCAAATTAATCCATTAAGAACACAATAAAAACGCAAAAGGTAACGAGTACCTAGCTTTTAATTTCAATTAGTTATTTAAGTTTAAATGAGTGTTTATATCAAGGAGAATTTTGTTACGATTGTTTATTTCAAATTTAAAATAACCCTTTCTATAATATACCCCCCTGCAGTAAAATAGTCAAGTTCGTGTTATTTGCATTGGTTATACATGTACATGTATATTGAATAATTTAACTTAATCCACTACGTACAATCGTAAGTAGGTCGACGATAGTAATGATTCATATTAGTTTCTAATGTTATATATAGGAACAAATTAAAAAGAAAACAATTTGCGTTATGGCGTATTTTTTTTTTTAATTTGTAAGTGCATTTTTGATATTGATTGCAGGAAATGTAGATTATTGTAAAGATTCTTCTGAACGTCTCTACAAAGAAATTTTGGGAGTTTTCAAAAGAAGCAGAATACCGGAACATAAGAAACCAGATGTCAGAGTAATTTTTCCGCATAAAGTAGGTGACGAGGTACGATTCTAACTTCATTTAAAGAAACTTCGTTTTTCTATGATGGTATTCTACACATATACAATTGTACGAAAAAAGACGTTATGATATGTAACAGAATTATGTTTTTAGCTGAACAAAGATTATTACTTGCATTCTTTCTTTTTATCCAGGTTTCAAATGAACTTTACAAAATTGATTCTTCCGTAAAAAGTTGTGGATATCGATATGGTACTCTTCAGGTCTTTGTCGATGATGTGGACAATGAAGAAATTAAAAACTCGATAGCAAGCGTATTGGCAAAAAATGGAATTAACGGCTTTGAAATTGTTCCTGCTATTAGTACATATAAGTCGTTTATTGGAGTTGGTGCCAAAGCATGCCCGGATGACTCTACATATGGGTCTTTAGGAGGTTATGCGAAAAGAAACTCAAGTCACATGTGTGCCTTAGTTTCAAGGCACGTTGCTATCCACTCAAAAGACATGCATGTATCTCTGTTAGATCAGAATTCCTCTATTCGATCAAAACTTATCCAAGAAACAGTTGCCAATAAATGTATTAAAAATACTGACACTGTTGTACCGATTTTGGATATTTCAGCTGGCGAAATAAATCCAGCGGATATTTCCATGTGTGATACAAGATTTAAGTCGGAATGTGGGAATCCTTCAACTCGAAAAGATTGCACATATGAAGACAAGCAACTTGATAATAGACGCATTCATCTTTGGGGTGCTGTATCTAAACCAGGCTTAGGGATTATAACTATTCCTGAAGTTCGCGATAGGAACCATGATAAGACGTACATCATAGTCGAAAACAGGGCTAATGCAACAGCTGTTCTGTGTAGGGAAGGTGATAGTGGTGCAATGGTATGTGCTGACGATGATTATGGATCAGGAGTGGAAGCAATATCAATGCTAATTGGTAAAGATACAACCAATCCAGGGAAATATGCGACGTTCAGAATAGATAAAGGGTTACAACAGCTTGAGAAACAAACGGACTCCTCCTTTAGTTTATGCCAAGACTGAACATTTGCTTTGAAAACATGTTTTTGAAACATGTTAAATAAACAATCATTCTTAATCAATTACATTTCATTAAAACTAAAGCTCGATTTTGTGGTGAAGATGCAAATACTCATATACGAAACATGAGTTTGTACCCTAAAATGCAAGAGGGATTAGTACATTATTCATTCGTCTATATATTCTCCAAGATGTACCTCATAGAAAAAAGGATTTATCCATGTGTTTACAAAGTTATTATATTCTGCATAGACATTGACTGAAATGTGAATAGACTAATGTTGTATAGTTCTATATATATACGAAAACTCACAATAATGGTTTTGTTAATGTATAAGTTAGTTTGAAGCAGGTTTAATTTAAAGATCCTGGAACACATTTTTGTATGTTTATATCATATGTTTCTCAAATTAAGATTTATAAATGAGCCGCGTCACGACAAAACCAATATAGTGCGTTTGCGACCAGCATGGATCAAGACCAGCCTGCGCATCCGCGCAGTCTGATCAGGATCCATGCTGTTCGCTGTCAGTTTCTCCTTTGTAATAGAGTTGGTAAGCGAACAGCATGGATAATGATCAGACTGCGCGGATCTGGATCCATGCTGGTCGCAAGCCCATTATGTTGGTTTTGTCGTGACACGGCTCGAATATTGTTATTTCCAAAAAGCATTATTTATAAAGATATTACCGAATATAACATTTCATGTAAATAAATGGAGGTAAGAAGAAATTTATTTTTTATAAAATCTAAGTCAAATTAGAAATGAATGCATATTTTTTGTAATGATTTCATTTAATGATTACAAATATTTGCAATACATATTTTACATATTCTAAGATGTTTGAAAATTGTTTTATTAGCATAATTATATACATATTACATTGGTCGGGCGACCTGGGTTCGATTACCGGTCGGCGCAGGTCACTTTCGTTGTGATGCATCATAGGTTCGGAACCTACGCTCTGACATGTTATAATGAGGTTGCTGTTATTGTGTTTCTTCCTATTTTATTCACTTTGTCTTTTGTTTGAATATATTTTGTTCTTTTTAATTTCTATTTCTTTTCCTTCCTTTTTTGTTACTTTTTATTTCTTTTTAAAAATCGACTTATTTTAACACACCGCGATTACGAAAAATAATAATAATTTTAATATACATGGATCAATATAAACACACTTAATTTCATTGTATTATTTACATTTTTAATAATGCGCTTTCTTGACGTTTGACATTATCCTCAAACTATTGACACAAGTACATGCCAACATTTGTAAAATAATCTTCTATCCCACACATTCGAAACTATTTGGAAATAAGAAATATATATATATAAAAACTCTGAGATGTCATCATACCTATGATTCGAACATGTAAATGCATGAATACAACACTGACATGGACGCTCTGCATACTGCGCTAACAAGTCACAGGAAATGCCTCGTTTAAATTTGTGTTTTATTCATTAGGCTTCAATCTGCCTAACCTATTTTTCGCATTGTTATAAATCATTGTTATGTAAACAAAGGCTCAAGTTATCATCCTGGGACGGTATATCGTATGTAACGACGGAAATATTGAAATCAACTAAATTAAATATTTTTTCGAAATAGCATAAAAATATTTTTTTAGGTAGAGACCACTTTTATGGTATATTGTTTCATACATTATAATTAAAACATATATAAAGGTAAAGGTCTTGTTTATTTTAGTGTCACAACTACTGAAAAGGCCAGCCATTTCTGACTTAAAAGACACATTTTGCTTGCATACCATGTACCTCCCAACTTCTACCACTATGCCAGGCGGATAGAAATTCGTAACCATTCATTTTAATTACCTCGCGGCTCAAGAAGCGGCCATTTCGGAAGGTGTCCCACGAGAAACATTCATCCTTCAATTAACGTTCCCCGTGGGGCTCGAACCTTCGACCTCCCTATCCGAAGGCGGACGCCTTAACCACTAAGCAAACGGTGTCGGCTATATATTTCATAGTCACTTTGTAAATATTCAATGACCGGTTTGTCGGTTATTATCGAATCCTGAAGTAAACCATATGGATTTCGATTTATGGTACAAATGTATATGTATACGGTAAAATTACAAGTAGAATTACAGGCATATCAATAATTAATCAAAATTATGAAATTAGAAAAAATACTAGAAATTAAACACATGATTTATCAACTTATGTTTGATATAGTTAAAAGAAATAATAAAGCATATATTTATGAAAGCTACAAAAAGGGATTGTCCAAAATTCGGACTTGCGCCTATTATGTCACAACTTCGTCATACTTACCACTAGGCCATCGAGTAAAATCGAATGATTTAATATTGAGATCTATACTATCAATAAAATCTTTAATCATAATAAGTTACGGAAACTAACGAAACACCTCCCGAAAATTAATGAGTCTCAGGTCAATATTGCAAAACAATACTTGATTATTTAATAATGATAGCAGTTTCTTTACAATATTGCTAAGCAAGTTTGCTTCAAATACGATGTATTATAATGTATAAACAAATACTCGACACATTCTTCCTCTATTCTTTAAACTCGAACCATTAAGCTGATATTTTCTTATATTTATGACAATACACTCATTTTTCTATCCGGCGACTTGATGCTTTAGCATCAAAACCTTTACTTGTTATTACAGTAAACGTCCGTAAATAGGCCCTTGTACGGGTCTGACTTAAAGTACGGTATCACAGGAATCCTATTTTATCGGTTTTCAAAGTATTTATATTGATCATTTTGATGAAGTCGTGCAATCCATTTGTACTTCATGTTAAATTTTACCTCCAAGGCTTAAACATATTAAACTTTCTGCTCGCAATAAATTTCAACGTTCTTTTTTGTTTTCTTTTCTTTTTTTCACTACATATTCAAAAGTAAAAGGTGAGCAATAAATAATTTAGAAATTAATGCAATCGTTTCTAAAAACACAGGCCAAAGATCTACCATATTCATGCATATGTGTAACAAAATGGTTCATTTTGATATTATTTGGATCAGACAAAAGAGCCGTTCTTAAAGGCGCGTTTTTTTGAACTCCTGGGTATTTTGTAGAACTATACATATGGAATAGAATTTGGATATTGAATTGTCTATGGCCTTTTACACAACTTTTATTTCTATTTCTTAAATTATTATCGAATTTATAGTATTTCAAATCATGTGTGCATGTCAAGACAGTTCTGTAAAGTATTTCCATCCCTTTATTTAAAAGCGCATTATGCTTTTATTTTATTTCTCAAAACCTTTTTTGTATAGTTTCCAGAAACTTTGAAGGTATTAATTTGCTAGTTACCTTACCATCTCTTGATTCAGGCGCCATTTGAAATTAGTTCAATTATACTGATACTGAGTAAAGTATTGTTATGGATGTCAATAGGCTACTTTGTTGACATTTATATGCCCCCGGGCATATAGTAATTGAACCGTCCGTCCGTCCGTCTGTCCGTCTGTCCTTACGAGGTTAACCTAGAACGGCAAGTTGGATTTTTCTTAAGTTCTACCTGTACTTTTGACTTCTAAGTTTACACACCTACTTATCAATACAAAGTACATGATCTGGGCAAGTTACATATTTCTGGCTTTCATATTTACCAAGTTATTGCCCTTTTCAGAACAGAAAATGAATAATGGTCACTCTAATCTTGAGTTCTATCTATACTAATGGCTTTATAATTTTCACACTTACTTATCTATACATGATATTGTCATGTTATATAACTGTGACATCCATATTTCCCAGTTATTTCCCTTTTTTTCACTTTGAAAATAGGGCCTTGTCTGGTTAACCTATTTCGGCAAGTTTGATTTAAGAATCTGAGCCGGGGGCATTTGTGTTTAACAAACGCGTTCTTGTTTCTTTTGTGACAAACCACTTCATATTTAGCATTTATTCAGTTGATACCTAAATGCTTTAAAATAATTTTCTCTAAAGTTATAAAACTCAATTTGAAATAGGAAATATTCATTAGTTTATGAGGAATAATATGCCTTAAACTTGCTTTGTTAACCTGTGAGGGGCTTCTTCCGCAAGAAAAAAATCTACATGTTAAATGATAACTTCTGATGCATTTTAGGTGCACACTTTGAAATATTAATGCCTAGTATATATTTTTCTTTTACAGTTCTGATACATCTTCACGTAAACAATTTAGAATTTATATTTCTACAACTACAATTTTCCCGAAAATTCAATGCATTTTAATCGTTTTAAGAATGCGTTTTGTTTCATTATTACTATTATAATTATAGTAATGATAATATAAAGACGGCATCTGCGATAAGAAGGCATGATGCCAGATAAAATGTGTCAAGTGATATACAAATCCAGGGATCAAATCCAACTACATGTTAAGCTAATACTGTATAAATTATGATGGATGAACCGGGTGAAAATTAGAGATTCTCTTTTGATATCTTTTCTTGATCTTAACCACTAAAAGCCATATATGTTATATTAAGGTTTACGTAACACCTGTTGAGATTACCCGGTTATGTACACTCAAATTGCTAAAATAAGTTTGATTATGAAGAAGACGGCATTATATACGTAATTTTCAATAGAATCTATATTAAAATCATATAGTACACTATTACATTATCGCAATTAAATTACAGATCAATCACCAAGCATACAATAAATAAAAAGAGAAACAAAAATATTATTACATTGCAAATCATAAGAATATCAATGATAAAGATATGGTCATAACGTTTGAGTAATAATATTGTATAGTTGAGGGTTTCAAATAGCTTATAAGTCTTGAATAAATGTGAGGTATAATGTCCCGATATAATCTGAAAAAACCTCGGCAATGTTTCGGTACAATTTAAAACACATACATTGTACAATTATATAATAAAGTCTAGCCCATGTGTTATCATGTGCAGGGGTGCAGGGGTGTAGATTGTTACATGTTGGTGGAGATTGACCCAATCACTGTGACCGTCGCACTGCTGGGAGTATTGTGTATGGTAGCACTGGGAGTAGCACATATAAGGTATATAGCTGTACAACGCCATTGAATATGTATTCTATATGTAGAAATATGCGTTAAATCAAGTTTTCAAGTTTCAAGTTTCAAAACACATCAAAAAATGAAACTTCTCTCTTCTTGAAACAATAAAAGATAAATATTTCTTGTTCAATGTTTATCGATATCCTGATGGTTTTAGCCCGATGTCCTGTGTTATTTGAATTGTTCATTAAAACTATTAATGTATAGTAAATGTATATATGAATCAAGATTAATTAAATAAATATATGAATAAAGATAAATATTAAAAATGCGTAACCACGCGCAATTATTGAAACAGAATAACTATATGTTTCAATTTTTCGTAATTTTAAGAACATATACTTTATTTTATCATTTCACTACCCTTTCTTGGACTATACAAAACATATTTCACACTGCTGTACACATTTGATGCGCAAAGTAGTCTCCCCTTAAAAGCGGCATCAAATCTACTTTACAACCGCCAGACACATGACAATGCGATGCGATAATAGATATTAGAATCACTTCTCGTTGTCCGTTGTTGTTTCGAATCATCGTAGGGTATCGCAGTGTATGAAGAACATAATTTGTTTGGTAGATATTGGGTCATATCAGCCCGGGAAGAAATAAGAAATTGAGATCAAAGTACTAAAATAAAACGTAGTAATACTGCTGTTGACTACGACGGTCCATTCATCACAAAACAAGGTCATGGAAAAACAAGGCGCTATCTTTGTGTATTAACACGTTTCACAGTAAGAGATGTACATCTTGAAATAGCATACAGCTGGGACACTTACTCTTTTCTCATCGCTTTAAACAGATTTATCAGTCGTAGAAGTGTTATTTTATCTGATAATGGGACACAAGTTGTCGGTTGTGTTAACGAACTCAAAGACCTGTACAAGAAACTGGATCAAAGTGCTATCGTTAGAAGTGTGTGTTGTCAATAAAATGAGTGGAAATTTACTCTACCAAATGCACCACAATTTGGCGGATCTCATAAAGCTATGATGAAATCGTCAAGGAAAGCAGTATATGCAATTTTCGGGAACGCAGATATCACAGATCTTGATCTAGAAGATTTCAAACTTCACGTGACTTCAAAGCGATGACATTTTTAATTAATAGTTGATCCAGGCACGCCCCGGGGACGTTAACCTCTAGGCCGAGTAACAAAAGTGTTTCATGGTCCAGATGAACATGTTCGCGTAATAGATCTTCAAGTTTGCAGGAGTTTAATTTATTTACGGGTATTTTTATTACTAAGCAGTTTTCCAGCGACAAGGTTCGAAAGCAGACGGAACTTCAGTTATTGCTGGGATATCTTTCGTTGAAAGATATGGGATCTAAGATGACTCAATTTCTTTATAAATGGACAAAACAATATATAGCAGATACGTATGAATGTAGAACCAATAGTAGCATTTTTAAGCTATTAAAACGGTAGAACCAAAGATCATCATTCACATATCTTTACATAGCAGATATAGCACCGTCTGGAACTGCGCAAAACTTCTAATACAAATAGTTATATTTCCCAGAAGAAATCATAACTGTTTTATAAATAGTAAATTGTGAATAAAATAACAGAACACAGAATGATTAGAATATGGCCGTGACTTTA